CCTAACAATCTCGCCGGCGCCAAGGTGCAGCCTATCGGAAATCATTACCCGCCCCTGGCCAATCAACTACTGCCCCGTGTACTAACCACCCTCTCCCGGAACCCGGCTCTATATAAATGTATGCTTCTCCCCCGAATAAAGCGGAACTTCTCCGGTGAACTGTCAGCTCGGGTCCTGTCGTCCTTTCACTCCTAGCGACCTCCTCTCTTTTCTCCTGGTTATCACTTCCTTTCACGAGCCCTCGCTTGCTTTCCCATCCAGCGCAAAGCCTGTGGTCTGACCCTCACGGCCCTGCCCAGCAACACTCCAACACTGGATCCCCCCAACTTCTCTCATGGTGAGCTGTGGAACGTTAACGGGGAGCCACACAGCCGTGGAGGGTAGAGAGCTACATGTTCACGGGCTCCCGCTCTGCAGGCGTCAACACGCAGGCGATGCTGGGCCTCCCTAGTTACTGCTGTTCTCCTCCACCTCCTTGGTTATTCCTAACTTTCGTCTCTTGCCTCAGCTCCTTCCCACCACCTCCCACCATATCCTCAGCAAATGGGTCTGCCTCCTGCTTCACAGAGGAAAATAACTCCTTCAGCTTTCCCTCTCACCTACAAATTTCACTGCACACAGACACACAGCCCATGCCCCTTCCCATGCCTGGTGAGGTCCTGGCTCCTCCCTCCTCCCATCAGCACCTTCCATCATCTTCCATCCATTGTCCGTCTTTACCTGACCTTCATTTTCCTCTCCCTTGATCCTTCCCTTCACTAAATATGTACGCTCAGGTTTCCTTTCTCACTCATCCCCCCTCCCCATAAACTAGGTTGTGATCTGTGTCCATCTCCTCATTAGTCAAAGCGTCTTAGAAGAAGTCTTCTCTTCCTTACCTTCCCCATTCCCTGCCTTCTGGCTTCTCCTTCACCCGCTCCTGAAATGCTTTCACTAAAATCATCTTTAACCTTCATGTGGCCAAGTCCAGCGGACATTTCCAGGTCTGATCTTTACTTGCGATCTCCTTTTTGGGGGCAACTGGCCAGTACAGAGATCGAACCCTAGACCTTGGAGTTATCAGCACCACACTCTAACCAATTGAGCTAACCAGCCAGCCTCTTATTTGTTGTCTCTTAGTCATTTGTCTTTTTTGGCCACTTTCTCCTTGAAACTGCCCTCTGTTGGCTTTTTTTACACCTTCTCTGGGTCTCACTGCTGCCTCTCTGGCTGCTCCTTCTATCTCCTTCCTTGGAACTCCTTCCCTGCTCATATCTCTCCAGTCACCAAAGTCAGACACAAGTGTCCTGAAGAAAACCCCACAGCATCTGCTCTGGGGCCGCCACACTCTACATCACATATTTTATCTTCCTTGATGTGGAGCATGAAATGATTAAACTGCAATGTCCTGAGCCACTATTTCCCAGTGATTGTGACCCAGGCAGGGTCCTGAAAGCTGTATTTCTGTCTCCAAAGAGGGGCCATTTAGGTTGGTATTCAAAACACAAAGAAATCCTTCTGCCAGAAAGGTTCAATGATACCACCTGCCTTGGTCCTGCAAGAGAAAATGGAGAGACCAGAGCACTCAGGTGAGACAGGCAGGCTGCTGCAGCATCCCATGGTTGCCACTCCGTATTGCACAAGAGAGGGAGTCACTGATAAAGACCCAAGACTATAGACTGGTCTGCACTTTGAAGAAAGCAAGCCATTCGGAGTTTCTTGCACTAACCATTGGAGCCCTGGGGCTGACAGGAGGAGCCAAATTGTCCCTCTTATCTCTGTTCTCAGAACAAAGTCGGGAAGGCTGCACCCATGTTTTTACCACTGTGTGGGGGAGAGTTTGGGTTTGGAGAGCTGCATCCTCAGGTCAGGGGAGGGGGAGGTAGGGCTGGCCCTGACTATGTCCAGTAAAGTAGATGTGGTCTGTTCTGAGCTTCACTGCAGAGTCTCCTCTGGGGCTTCAGTGTCCTATCTTGAATGACTGTGTTCTGACTCCAGTGGGAGATATTGACCTCCTGGTCTGACCCTTCCAGCACTTCCTGGAAACTCTCCAGTTCTCAGTGAGTTGCCGGGAGCTGCCCAGCCCTCCACCCAGCTGGGGAGGGTATAGCCTTCACCTTACTGGGCTGGGAGAGGGAAGTCTTTCCCAAACATTTCTCAGGACCCAGAGTTTACTAAAAGCAAAAACAAAACGACTAAAATCGTGATGGGGTACCTCCTCTTAAGAAATGAGTATTTTGGGACAGAATGAGAGAGTCCCCCTAGGCTAGGACATCCTGCCTGGGCTGAAGAGTCTGCAGAAACCTTCCATCCTGCCACTGCAGCACGACAGGGAGGCCTGAGCCACCTTGGGAGGGCCCCAGTCTCTGTCTGCCAGGCCCCAGCAGGGACTTGTGTGGGCCTGAGTATTGGGGAGAGGAGGAAAGGACGCCCAGGTTTATTCAGGGGACTGCAGTAGGTGAGGAAGGGGGCGACAGATGGAAGGAAAGGACCATGTCCCACTCCCCACTTGCCCCGTGCAAGCCACTATCTTTGTCCTGCTCGCAGCTCCACAGTGCGCGGTGTGGGGCGCCCCTACTCCCAGTCCCCTGCCGCACCTGACCCCTCGGCGCCCCAAACCCCTCTGCGCGGGGCTGCTGTGCGTGGGCTCCTGGGTAGGGACCCGCTCCCGGCGAGTAGGGCCGCTCGTGGGCGGCGCGCGGCGCTGGAGGAAGGCGGGCGGCTGCCCACGCAGGGGAGCGGCTTCTACCGCACCTGGACAGCCGCCGGCGCTTGCGGAGAAACGCGGGAGCTTGGGCCTGGGAGCTCGTTCTCCACCTGAGGCGAAGGTACTCCTAGAAACGCAGAAAGTCTGTTCTGGGGAGATACAAAGGATACCGGAGGAATATGGAAGACCTCCTGCGCAGCCCCAGATGATCGCTGTTCTCTAGTCTACCCTCACGCCAACAAGAGAAAGAGACAATCTTCGAGCCCATCTTTGGAACTAGCTGAGTGGAACAGCCCAACTGGCCCCGTCAGATTTTCTGCAACATCTCGGCCAGTGGTTCTTAATCGTTTTTGGCTCAGCTTGTCCTTTGAAAATCCCATGAAAGCTATGCAGTAAAACGCTCATGTGCTTTTACAAAGTGCATTCGGTTTAATAGTCTCCTCAAGTGCCCATCCAGGGATGTCTTAGGCAGGCCTGCCCGGAGGGTTTATGGGACTCAGGGCAAGGAACCAATGGAGGCCCACATACCACATGTCTGAGTAAGGAGGAGTTATGAGACCAGGCTAACAGAATGTTAAAGTATGTTCTGTCCTCCTACCTTGACAGATATATCTTCCAAGATAACAGCTTGGAAGGCCAGTTTTGAATTTAGAACTGGCACCTTTGGCTTCCTGGCCCTCAGCCTGCCCTCTTTTTGCACTGTGGAGCCTTGTGTGCACACAAGAGGACACTCCAACTCACAAGTCCAAGCTCCTCTGCACCCCTGCAAACAGCTGTTGGGGCCAGGTGTGCACACCGGCAGAGGGGTCTGCTTGCCAGAGGACACCTGAGACAGAAGGCTGCATAGGCCCTGGAAATGGAATCAGGGCTATTTGGACAGAAAATACCAGTCTAGAACAGTGCTTCAGATGAATGACCAGATTTTATTTTTATTTTTAAAATTTTTTTTATAAATGAAAGGTTTTTTTTTTTTAAATAAATGAAAGGTTTTTGTTATTATTGTTGTTTTTAATACCCAGGTTTTAAAATTTCCAATCTGTGATGGGCTGATGCTTTTGTAAACTACAATGAAAACAAGTTCCTGGAAAAAGATCAGGAGCTTGGATGTTGCAGCAAAGTCAAATTGTGATAAAAATTTCTAAATGCTTGCTTTCAATTTCTGTACTTAGCTCTTTGTGGACCAGTAACAAGCAGTTTGTTGACTGGCAGTAGTTCTAGGGCCACACTTCGAGCAGCATTGGTCTAGGAGGAGGCAATGTGGGCTCCAGCTGGGCAAGCCTCTAGGCTCCTCTGACCAATCACTTTACGGGAGAGGCATGGCCAGAGGAGGGCCCATGGTGGTAGTGGTGAAGGGAGTGCTTTATTTTTTGTTTGTTTTTATAAACATCTATTATAGGCAAAACAAAACTTACCCATATTATAGATAAGTGTCTATTCACACTGAAGGGTGTGCTTTAGAGCAGCCCAGACTGTTGCCTTTCTTATCTGAGTCTAAGAGTGGTATAGGCAGGTAGTGGCTTTTGGGACATAGACCCTTGAACAGTGTCGAGAACTCTAGTGTAATTTATCAAGAAGTACAAGGTTGCCTATGCCATTGGACTTCTTGATAAGAAGTGCTGGGTCGCCACCGGACCAATGGCCAAGGATAAGCAAGAAAATCAAAGACAGAACACATATACATAATTAAGAAAATCTGTTATATAATAGAAGAGCTTGACTTAAATAGATGCCTATGGAATGAATTACGAGCTGTCTAGAGTGTAAGACACCCAGGTACAATGAAGGGGTTGCTAGCATTGTTTTTTGCCTTGTCCCGGTTGGAGGAGCCATGGTTGTCACTTGCCATCGGCAGCTAATTACTGACCCTGTCTCCATGATCTCCTGACTTTCTGGTTGTGTTGCATATGGGCTCTAATCACCATGTGTTGGTTTTCTTCATTTTTTTCTCCTACCATTACTGTCTTTTATCATAAAATTTTTACCTTGGTCTATCAAAATCATAGAATTGTGACGTAAAGAGGACCCAGAGAAAAGAGGGGGAGGGTGACAAAGGCTGGGGATGCTATGTGGGGTGGAATGGCCACCATTATGAATGATTGGGACATCCCCATTCACTGGCCAGGGCAATGATTGAAGCCAAGCAGGGCCTCCAGAGAGGCACGAAGGGGAAAGCTGGAAAGGTGCCTATGGTTGCAGCTCGGCCCCTGCCCACAATAGTTCGTATTATCACTAATTGGATCACCCATCCAGACCCACATTCTGCATGCATTGCAAAAGAAAAGGGATAAAAACATCTTCACCATGGGCAGATCAAGATTCTTCATTGGTAGACATGGCCACTGGGATGAAAAAGACATTGCAAGAGGAGTGAGATGAGCTCATAGATACAAGGGTCATTTCCTTTGGAGCAAAGAGCCATGTCTGGAGTCTTGTCACATGAGGAAAATATAATGTCTCAAATGAAAAGAAGCATCTATTTTGACTAGTTTCTATAAACTAGTAAACTAGTAGTTTATAGCAAGCACTTTGTATTAATACCTGGAACAGTTTAATATATAAAGAAAATGAAATTTATAGCTTACAGTTTCAGAGGCTGAGAAGTCCAAAGTCCAAGGAATGCATCTGGTCAAGGCCTTGTTGGTAGTGACAGTGATGCAGGGGTCTCACATGGCAGAATGGCAGAGCAGAGAGAGAGCTCCTCATGGGCTCTCTCTTTTTTTTTTTGTTTTTTTTTGTCTTTTTGTCTTTTTTCCGTGTCCGGCAACGGATCGCAACCCTCAGTGTTGCCCCCGTACCGGACCGGGGACCGGCAACGGGATCGCAAGCCTCGATGTTGCTCCCGCGCCTCGCTCAGCCAGTGAGCGGGAGCCGGTCTGTATGTGGGATCCGAACCCTCGGACGGGAGCGCCGCCGCGCTTCCCAAGCGGCGCACTATCCAGTGCGCCACCGGGCCGGCCCATGGGCTCTCTTTTTATAGCCCTCAGAACCGTGCCCACAACTGCCATTACACCATCAAGTGGATCCATCCATTCACTATGGCAGGGTCCTCACAATCTAATCACTTCTTCAAGGCCCCACTTTTCACCAGTTACAGTGGGGATTAAGTTTTGGGGGGATGTTCAATTCAAGGTAAACTTTGTGTGTGTGTGTGGCTGGTACAGGGATCTGAACCCTTGACCTTGGTGTTACAACACCAGAGTAAACACTTCTATAAATCTAAAAATAATAGAACTCAAAAATTCCTGGAGAAGAATAAATTATGCTCTAAATGTGCTGGCCCTTTAGAAAAATTTTAGACATCTGTTGAAGGTAAAACTCAGGGGAAAAAAATGCTTAGTTTTGAATTAAATGAATGGCTGGTTGCTAGATTATAAGAAGTAAAAAATTCAGATTGATGTCAGGCTAGCACATAGCTGGAAAAATGCTAAGAGAACTTCAGCATTAAAGCTTTTAAACACAACTTACAGTTTTTACTGTTTGACATATAAATATGGAAGAATACTATAAGAATCTGAGTTCAGGTGGCCGGTTAGCTCAATTGGTTAGAATGTGGTGTTATAACACCAAAGTCAAGGATTCAGATCCCTGTACAGGCCAGCTGCCACACACACACACACACACACACACACAAAGTAAGTGCGGTGCATCAAAGTAAATCCTTCATATGTTGAAGCCCTAACCCCCTATATACTGGAGTGAGGAAGTAATTAAGGTTAAATGAGGTCATAACGGTGAGACCCTTACCTGTTAAGATTAGTGTGCTTACAAGAAGAGACACCAGAGAGCTGTCTCTTTCCCTCTCCGCATGTGCTCAGAGGAAAGTCCATGTGAGGACAAAATAGTTGTCTGCAAGCCAGGAAGAGAGTGCTCACTAGAAACCAAACCTGCAGGACCTTGACCTGGAACTTCCAGCCTCCAGAACTGAGAAATAAATTTCTGTTGTTTAAACCAGCCAGTCTGTGGTATTTTGTTATGGCAGCTGAAACTAACACAGACTGATGATAATTTTAGTTTAGCTTAGCAGACAGCTCTTTATCATCTTCTAATTTTATTGCAGTGTGGAAAATATTGTTAGCATCACATTCATTTGTCCAAGACTTAGGTTTATTTTCTCATTGAAAGCCTAATTAATCTAAGCTTTCTAAATTTCCTTTCATGACTTTACTGGTCATATGAGCTACTTCCACTAAATGTTGGGCGAATAAGAATGTAAACAACTGCACTCACCTAAATGGAATGACCGTAACTAATAAGTGTCTTTATAAAAAGACATTCTGGGCTGGCCCGTGGCTCACTCGGGAGAGTGTGGTGCTGATAACACCAAGGCCCCGGGTTCGGATCCCATATAGGGATGCCGGTTAGCTTGCTGGCTGAGCGTGGTGCTGACAACACCAAGTCAAGAGTTAAGATCCCCTTACTGGTCATCTTTTTATAGGAAAAAAAAAAGACATTCTGATATTGTCAGACACTGTAATAATCTAAATCATTCTAAATGTCATCGGGTGGTCTCTGCTGTCCTCTCTGAGGGCCTTTGCTGTAAGCTGCAGGCCAATGATAGGGTCATCTGGAAGAAACATCCGAGAAAGACAGCCTGAGAGACTCAGAGGAAGGAAAGAAACGAGGTACCCAAGATTCAGGATTTCTAGGATCAATTCAATTGAGAAGTAGGTGACTTCATGATTTCAGGTTGCTCACCCAAAACCATTGGAAGGAGAATTATTTCCATGAGACTGAGACTGTTGAGCCAAATTGTAGGGAGCCAATTTACTGGAACGAATGACCAAAAACTATGGCCATGCATACTGTCAAGTGAAAATTAGAATTTTAGAAAACTGTACTTATTCATTATTAGGAACTTAGCTCCAAATACTTAAAAGACTTCTCTGATGAAAATGATGGTGATATTAACAGGCATGATTTTTTGATACTGTATGATAAAATATGTCAACAATCTTTATAACTTAGTGATGCAGGCTGGTTAGAGCATGGTGCTGATAACACCAAGGTACAGGGTTCGATCCCTGTACAAATCAGCCAAAACTAAAAGCAAGCACACGAACAAAAAATAACTTAGTGACCTACAATTTTCCAAATAACCAATGCATAATGTTACAAAATTTT